ACTCATGCCCAATCACCATTGGTTCTTTGACAACAAAATCTGCTAATCTCATCGACTGAAATATTCATCAAACATAATACAAGAATAATCATATTGACAACAGTAGAACAATAAAGTAATGAAATTTAACATTACATATCTTAAAAAGAATATGAATTAATCATCTGAAGTATAATAAACAAGAATCTAGCTTATTTTTCTACTCTGATCACGTCGAGTATTACGCCATCCACCTCAACAAACATGCCAAAATACTAAGTTTATGTATATTATTGAGAAAATAAGAATAGATTTTACCTTGAGGAAGTGAACATCACTTCCACAGATACCCACAGCTTTCATCCTAATTCTAGCATCACGGGGGCCTAAAAAATATCACACAAGTTAACATACAGTAGAACAGATTGATCAAACTCTAAACCCAAAAATTAAGAGATATCTCTAAGTAAATCAAGAAATTCAAAGAAACAGTACAAGAATAGAAGGATAATCAAGTACCTAGAGGAGGGAGCTTGAAAGGCTGAATCTTGAGATTGTTAACACCCAGAAGCCAAGCTGCCATGTTCTCTTCTTCCTCCCCACTGTTTCCATGAGACATTCCACCCTTACCCATTTCCACTCTCTCTCTCAAAATCAATCAAGATTGATTTTTTTTGTTAGTGTGAAATTAATAGTGAGCATGAAGAGTGAGAGTAGCAGGGTTATTCTGATTAATTAATTTTAATGATGAGATTGGATTCTTGTGAATAAGATAGTGGATGAGGATAAGATATTTTGTAGGAAAAGAGAAGGGGTGGATAAACTTGTATCTCATGAATAATGAGTAATGCTATTCCGTCACTCCTCAGCACATTTTGTAATGTATTTTATACATTGAATGATGTAGTAATGATTCTAAAGTTATATAGACGGGTGCTGATTAACATTATCCTTTACTCTATACTTAGGAGGCCGGCTCTAAAATTCTTATAAGAATTTGTTTTATGTGTGTGTATATTATTTATAATTTGTTGAAATCGACCTGTGACTGATTAATGCGTCTTGATTTAATTATTTTATTTGAAAATTTGTAAGATTGCATATCTATCCTTGTATAATAATTGAAGCTTAGGTTTGACTAGCCATTATTTTAGCATTTTGGAAGAGAATCTTTGTAGTAATGAGAATAACTCTAGAGGATTCTTCCAAGTTGTTTGATGAACTCTGATTTACTTATTTTAGTGGAATTTTCGTAAGATTGTACTTGATGTAAATAAATGTTTTTAATTACATTACGATGACGATAACGACGACGACGACGATGATTATTATTATTATTATTATTATTATTATTATTATTATTTGTCGGGTATTTTGAACCAAAGTAAAATACAAATGACAGAAATCAAACCGAGCATGCAATAAAGCAGTAAATAACATGATTCAATTGTTTAACCAGTTCGACCATGCTTAATCTGGGGCTCAGAGGTAAAACACCGTCACCATGCAAAGAACCTTCCAAGAGAGAGAGAGAGAGAGAGAGTAAGTGAGTACAATCAAATCAGACCACAAATACGATCATCAATTAACATCGGGCAGAATAGTGATTAATCTGCAGGTTAGAACCAATAGACAATAACAGAGAAGAATGCAAGAGAATAACGCCAAGAAAAACAAGAAGATCTTTATTATTCAACAATTGAACGAAAATAACCCACAAGACGGGTTAAATAGTTAGAAAATAATAATTTTCGAAATTTTACCAAAAATAGCAAAATCCTATTATTCATATTAAAAGGAAATGCTTAGGCCCTGTTCTCTTTATCGTTTTCAAGTCGTTTTCTGTTTTTAATTTTTCAAAACAACAAAAACGCGTTCTCTATCTTATTTTCGAAAACGAGTTTTTCAAAATGA